GGGGGAGGGAGAGAGAGAGAAAGAGAGAGAGAGAGAGACAGGGAAAGAACAAAAGGCATCAGTCTCTGCACCAGAGGGGTCGGAAAAGTGACCCGCTGGCCCCCTGTCCTCTCGGTGAGGCCATGTCCTCCCAGCTGGCATACCTCTCAAGCGAGGGTGCTCAGCACCTTCCAAGGGGCCCGCCCGTGGCTGGGGAACACACGGGCACTGACTCCGTGCCTGGCCCCGAGGTGGCCTGTTACAGACCTGGTCGTGAACTCTGGCAATGTCCTCAGGGGGAGGGTGCCCGTTCGACAGAGGGGGAAGTGGAGGCCGAGAAGGTGTGGGGATGGAAGAACCGCTCAGGGAGGGGTGGGGTGGGGTGAGCCAGAGGCAGGACCGGGCTGGGAGAGGGGCCTAACGGTGAGCTGCGTGCTCAGGCTACGGGGGGCTGGGGTGGCGAGGTGAGGCCCGCTCACCCGTGTCCGGCTCCGCACAAACAGGTCCAGCACATCCTGGCGCACCTGGTCATGGTTCTTGTCCAGGAACTTGTGCACCTGGAAAGGGGGAGGGGCGGAGCAGCTCGGGCTGGACCCCACTCCCACCCCACGCGGCCCCGGGGTGCGTCAGCCTGCCTTCTCCCCTCCTCCCCCCTCCTCCTGACGGTGGGTCAGGGGCTCACAGCCCCGGGTGACCCTGGCCCTGCCCCTCCAGGCCTCGGCCTCCCTGTCTATCCTAGGAGGGACAGGCCCCTCCCCCTGCTCTGGTCCCCTCCCCTCCCGCCCCACTAGCCTCTCCACCCCCAGGGCAGGGGCAGTAGCCACAGCTTCACATGACCAGTCCACATCTTGGCCCCATCCTCAGTGAGGACACTGTCCTGTGCCCATTCTACGGATGAGGAAAACGAGGCCCAGTGGGGACAGAGGCTCAAAATCCTGGCCTGAGACGGCTCCAGGGCAGGAATGAGCCAAGGTGACAGTGGTGACAGTGACCGCTGATGGGGGCTCCTTCTCATTACACCCGCCCTGGCCCTGGACTTCTCTCACTCGCCCCGTGAGACGGGCACTATTATCATCCCCACTTTCCAGATAAGGAAACTGAGGCTCAGAGAGGTAAAGTGACTTGGCCAAGGTCACACAGCTGAGGATCATCAGGGCCAAAACTGGAACAGGTGCCAGTGTCTCCAGCGGTGGGGAAGGGCACTGGAGGCCATGGTTCTGGGTCTCACCTGGTAGGTGACTTTGCCCGCGTAGTGCTTGATGGTGAACTCGGGCAGTGGCATCTTGGGTTTGGAGTAGAGTGGGTTGGCGCCGTGGTGGTAATGGCACTTCTGCAGAAACGTGTGGTCTGTGGCCTGGGGGTAGGCGGCGGTCAGCGGGTGGACAGGGGCCCGGCATCCCATTCCTCGCCTAATGACAAATTCTCCAGCCCTGACTGGTCCCCAGCGAGCACCGGGGAGGGGGAACAAGTCCCCGCTGCTCCTGGCTGCCCACTGCTCGGGCTGGGGTGGACTAAGTGGATCCTGAAGACGGGTGTGCTCCCAGCTGCCCCCCATCCAGCTCAGCTGTCTCTGCACGCTCTAGTCCCACTGCCCAGAGCACCCATCCCACCCTTGTGTTTTCCAATCGGAATCTGAGGCCCAAGCACAAGGTCACCTCCTCCAGGAAGCCTTCTATGACTTCCCAGGCTGGTGCAGCCCCTCGTCCCGAGCCCCCATCCAGCCTCAGTCACCCCAGGTTTGAATGGCAGGTTGGGAGTCCTGAGCTTCCGACCCCACGCCAGAGCAGAGAGGAATGCAGGCCACGAGGCTCAGAGACGTCCAGCGTCCTGAGCAAGCTCACCTGGGGGAAGCAGCACTGGTCGTCGAGGATACGCAGGATGCCGTAGGGCTTCAGCGAGATGAGGCTGATGCAGGGCTGATTGTCGGCGAAGGTGATCTCCTGCCAGTCCATCTGCTCGCGGATGTACTCCTCCTGCAGGCGGCAGGCCTCTGCCTCCGAGCCCCGGGCCCCTCCCAGCCCATCCCCCAGGCGGACGCCATCCGGGGGCCTGGCCAGGGCACCCCTGCGTGCACGCCTCCCAGTCCAGGGAGCTCACTCCCCAGCGGGGCCACACGAACCACCTCCTCCGGGCCCTGCTCCTCCCCCGGCCTGGAACAGCCCTGCCAAGGGTGAGGAGGACCCCCCAAGGGGCTCTTCTCTGCACTCAGCACCCCTGCACCTGCCCTTCCATAACACAGGCTTTCGCGTGTGCTGGTTCCCAGCACAACCCATCTGCCTCCAAGGAGGCCCAGCGGCCAGCGGGGACGGGACAGAGAGTGACGGAGGACTCTCACCTGCTCCTCCTGGAAGACAATCTTGTTGAAGAGGTACTGGAGGCTCTCGTTTGCATAGTTGATGCACAGCTGCTCGAAGCTGTTGAAGCTCAGGTCCTGCCGGGCGTGTGGTGAGGCTGGGCCCGGCCCCTCCGTGGCCAGCAGCCCATCCGTCCAACCCAGGGCCTGCCCCCCCCCCCCCCCCCCCCCCCCCCCCCGTGCAGACTCATCCCTGCCTTCCGCAGTTTCAGCAAACTGGAGCCCCGCCCACAGACCCCCTGCCCAGAACCCTCGGTGGCTCCGATTGCGCACAGGTGAGAACCTGACGGTCCCATGCAAGGTGGCACACACAGTGTCTGAAGCCCCAGGCTCTGGAACCTTCTGCCTACGTTCCAATCCTGGCTCTGCCACTTTCTAAGCCCCCATGCCTGAGTTTCCCCACCTGTAAAATGGGGATAACGACAGTGCCCACCTCACAGGGTGGTTGTGAGGATTAAGTGAACTAATATGCAAAGCGCTTAGAACGTCAGCTGGCACACAGCAGGTGCCACGGGAGCCTCAGTTGCCACTTCTGTTATTCTGATTTTGCCTGTCTCTCTCCATGCCCCCCACCCTAACCACCCAGATGACTTCCACCTCCCCAGACACCACGGCCCACACCTCTGAGCCTCCGCATAGGCTGTTCCCTCCACCTCAAATGCCTTGGCTGGTTTGTAAGGAATTAGCTCAGGACGTCTCCTCCGCCTCCAGGAAACCTTACCTGATGCCTGCCCAGCTAGGGTTCTGCTCCAGGCTCCCCCAGTGCCAGGCTGCCTCTGTTACAGCTCTGACCACATGTGTTCGTCAGTGTTCATCCTCATCCCACCCAGTCCCTCCTGGAAGCGCCCCGAGGTCGGGGCCCAGGTCTGGTTCTTTCTGGGGTCCCTGGTGCTGCCCACAGGGCCTGCCGCCCGGAGGCCCCAGGGAGCGCTTGTGGGCGAGCAGAGGGAGATAATCATAGGGGAGGGCCCTGAACAGGTGACGGTGCAAGAGCGCCCCCGGGGCCCCACCTCGAAGCCATAGATGTCCAGGATGGCGATGGACAGCGCGTCCTGCTGCGGGGATACCAGCGCGTTGACCCTGGCGATGAGCCAGCCAAAAAGCAGCGCGTACAGGACCTTGGCGATGGCATCCCTGGAGCAGAGATGGTGTTTGGCGGGGGGTGGGGGGGGGGGGGGGGGCAGGCACAGTAAGGGGGCGGGGCACCTGGGGCTCAGGCGGGAGGTGTGGCCTCACCTGGCATCCACGGCACTCTCCACGGTCAGGGGGGTGAAGATCTTCTCTCGCATTGTCTCCTGCGGGGGATGCAGCCCCTGAGTGACAGCGGGTTGGCCACCACCTCCGGAAAGTCCCCAGAGGACTGGGGGTGGGGGGCGTGGGGAGGGGAGCCGGGGACATGGTGTGACTTGTCTCAGGCACGAAGTCAGCCAGGGGCAAGACACCCTCGTCCCCCCTTCTGCCTGGCTTGCTGGTGGGACGAGGGCTGCCAGTCTGAGCGGGAGACAGAGGCAGAAGCAGACACAATGGTGACATCAGCCTGGGGAGGGGGGAGGGCAGGGGTGTGGGAGATACTGGCCCAGCCAGGGGTCAGGGATGGCTCCCTGGAGCAGAGGGTACCTGTGTTGGGGCTTGAGAATCAGTAGGCGTGAAAAAGGGAACAGCATTCCAGGCAGAGGGAACAACCTATGCAAAGGCCCGGAGACTGGTGCCAAATGCCTTTGGGATCTGAGGTTACCCACCTCTGGGCCAGACCCAGAAGATGGACAGGTTGGGGAGGTGGGGGAGAGGGGCAGGGGGCCCACACAGGACGGGGCACAAAGCAGCTCCGTCCAGGGCTGTCAGGAGGCTTCGATAGCATACCCCGCACCCAGGGACTCACGGTCACTTTGAAGGTGATGGCCTTCTGCAGGCCCTCGGGGGAGACCTGCAGCAGCTCGGCCACGGCCTGGATCTCCCGGGCACTCACCACCGAGGCAACCTCCTGCGCGTCTGTCTGCAAAACACCCACAGGAGTGCATTTTGAGCTAAATAAGCTTTTTATATGAGTTCCTATAAAGAAGAGAAACAAGTGAGAACAGCCAGGAAAATTCTAAAACAGAAGAGGAGTACAGGGGTCCCAGGAGATGGTAAAGCATAAAGTTAGAATAATTAAAACACTGTGGGGACAGACACATAGTTCGTAAACAGGTCAACGAAGCACAGTAAAAAAGTCAGGAGTTAGACACAAACGTACACAGGAATTTTCAGTATGGGATAAATACATATTTCTCAAGTTGGGAGACTGAGTCACTATCTAAACAAAAAACAAGATCCCTACCTTGTACCTTACTAGAATAAATTCCTGATGAACCAGAGATTTAAATGTTAAAAAAATAGTCACAGAAACCATAAAAGGTCTTCAAACAATTATAGGCATAGGCTTTTATAATTTTAGAGAGATAGATCTCTAAAATGATAAAAAGTCTAAAATTTCTATAAGACTTGATAAATGAAATACCTGAAAATAATTTTTTTAATCTGCATAGCAAAAAACCCCACCAAAAACCGAAACAGCAAAAAACCTGTAAACAATCAAAGTATAAATGATAAACCAGAAAATATATTTGCAATTCACCCTAGAGACAAAGGGCTGATTCCCTTAACGTATATAAAGAGCTCTCATACGTCAATTAGAAAAAGATGAACAACCCCCAAAGCGGAGAAAAAGACCAAATGATCTGTGCTTCTGACTGTGAGCCGGCGGTATTTCAGCCAGTTCTTCAGCCTCCAGAGGACGCCCATGTCCCAAGGGAGCGGGCCGTGCGGCCGTGGTGTCCCCTCACCTCATACTTCTCAAAGTAGACGTTGCCCAGGTGCAGGATGGAGGCCAGAATGCGAAAGATGCTGTCCTGGTCCTCGGCGCTGAAGCCCAGCACCTCCATGGCGGCCAGCAGCCGGCGGAAGTCGTCCGCGTCGCTCTTCCCTGAGATCTCACAGTTCCCACCCTGGGCGAGGGCAGGGCAGGGGTCGGGGACCCTGGGTGGGGGCCAGGAGCCCTCAAGGACCCTGCTCTGCCCCGGCCTGCAGTGTGGCCGGATATCCCAGTTCTCTTTCTACTCCCGAGGGCCGGAGGCTCCGAGCGGGCACCGCACACCAGGCCCTGTGCTGAGGGCTTCGTGTACATTTCCCTCTTCTAATCCTCACACACCCCTGCAAAGCGGGACTGTGCTGTCCCCGTTTTACAGATGACGAAAGTGAGGCTCTGGAAGGAAGTGTAGTCGCTCCAGGCCACTTAGTTCTATTCTAGGCTCCAGAAAAACAAAGAATCAGGTCGGCCTGCCCTACCCTGGCCTTGGACCCCAAAGACACCTGTCCCCCTTGCCACGATGAGACATCGCCAAGTCCAAACTCACCCTCCCAAACCTCCATCACCTTCGCTGGCCATCAGGATGCCACGACTTGGCTCTCTCGGCCCACACGGAGTGATGGGGGGAGGGGACCAGGCCAAGGGCCCTCAGATGCCTGCTGGCTCTCACCTGGTTCAGGTAGTAGTAGGTCTCGGCCTCCTGCAGGCTGAAGGCCTGCCGGAGCTGGGCGGGCAGCCCAGCCAGCAGCTCATAGAAGATGTGGTAGTTCCTCTCGTTTTTGGCCTGTGGAGTGGGTTGGAGGCTGCAGAGAGGGGAGCCGCCGACCTAGGTGACCCCCGGACACACGTACAAGCCCAGCTATGCCCACAGATACAAGTACACACACGGGCCTCAGGTGAGACCGGTGCCCCTGTGACGAGTGAGCCCCAGCCTGGCACTGGCGGGGGGTTGGGGGGGACCCTGGTGTGGTGGTGGGGCGGGGCTTTGGGCAGGATTTAACTCTGCTTGGAGAAATGAAAGAAAGGTGGCCCTTTTCACATGTGTACCAGCTACACAAGTCTCTGCACACGTGTGTCCACGGACCAGACGTGTACTCGCAGGGCCAGCCAGGGTGGTGGGCACAGACTGTGGCCAGGCCTCAAGCCAGGCCCTTGGGACACAAAGGGGAACACGGCAGACAGAAGCCCCTGGCCTCATGGGAGCCCACCTGCCGGCCAGGGGAGACAGACCCTCAGCAGAGCACCGTGAGTGGCGAGAAGCGCTCTGCAGAGAAACAACGCAGCCAAGGGGGTGGGCAGTGGTGGGGGGTCGGGGGGGGCTGCATTTCTTCACCGAGGCCGCCTCCTTGGGGCGTGACCTTCAGCAAAGACTTGGAGGAGGTGAGGGGTTCGGCCATGCAGCTGTCTGCGGGAAGAGTGCTCCAGGTAGAAGGAACAGGCGCTGCGAAGGCCTTGTGGCGGGATGGGGCCAGGTGTGCCTCAGGGCCAAGGACAGGGTGCGGGGTAGGGGAGGAGACGCGGCCACAGGCGCGCGCGCACACACACACACACACACACAGCCCGAGCCTCGTTCATCAGCTCAGCCAGGTGCCAGGCTCAGAGGGTCTGCACGCCCCACACCCGACCCCATCCTGACACACCTGAAACACGATCCTGGATTTCTCGAGCAGGTACTGCGAGGTTATGGCACCAGAAATCACGCTCCTGGAGAGGGAGCAGAGTCAGCTACGCTGGGCACCGTACCGTGCACGCAAGGCCCCAGGGGGGCTCCACCGCGGCCCACTCACCCTTCCAGAAAGATCTCCACAAACTTCCCAAAGCGGCTGGAGTTGTCATTCCTGACAGTTTTGGCGTTACCGAAGGACTCCAGGAGGGGTGTGGCCTCCAGGATCTGGGTGCCAGAGGAAGACTCGGGCATTGCAGGGAGCCCGCGGGGGCCTCCCCAGGTCCCCCACCGCTCACCCCATGCTGCCCGCCCCACACCGCACAAGCGTGCGCACACACACCCCCAATACCTTTATCTTCAGGAGCCGCCAGCACAGAGGAGGAGGGCGGGACAAGAACAGAAGCGGGTCACCCGCGGGACCGACCGGCTCCCCCCAGGACGCGGGGGGCCTCCGACCACAGAGGGAGTGGCTGAGCCCTCCCGGCCCGGCCCACAGGCAGGAGAGCCGCCAGCTGAGAGCAAACCCCGGAGCCTCAGAGCCCCAGGTGTCTGGGCTCGGGGACCATGGCATGGCCCGAGGTGGGGGGTCTGCTGGGCCTTCCTGCCAAAGGGCTCTGGGGGTGTTCTTGCCCCCCTCCCCAGCCACCACCGGCCATGAACCACCCAGTCTCCTGGAAAGGCCTCCTACCTGCCCCTCCTGGCTCCCTCCAGGGGTCCTCCGCAATCCTCGGGAGGTCCCGTCCCCCACCCCCGGCTCCCACCCCTTGGGCTCCAGGCCCTGCACGGCCCAGCCCCATCTCCTGTCCCCTCCCCACTCTGCCCAGCACTGCAGTCCCCTGACTGTGCCCGCGCCAGCCTCTGGGCACTGGCGCTCTGCCCCCCTTCAGCCCTCAGCCCTTCGTACGTCCGTGTCTCTTGCTAGAGCGTCAGCCCAACAGGCAGGACTCTGTGCGCACAAGCCTGGTGTTCAGCCACCCACACAGGACCTGGCAGTAGGAGGCTCTCAACAAACACCTGCTGGCGGCGGGGGTGGGGGGGTGGGGGGGGAACCTCCCTGGTGGGCCAGTGGTTAGGACTCCGCGCTTCCACTGCAGGGGGTGCGGGTTCCATCCCTGGCTGGGGAACTAAGATCCCCACATGCCGCACTATGTGGCCAAAACATACCAAAAAAAAAAAAAAATCTGCTAAATGGATGAAATGGGGGATAGCATTTTATGAGAGCAGAGCTGCCAGGGTGTTGTAGCTCATCACAGCACCCACTTATTAGGCACCTACTGCGTGCCAGGCCTCTTGCCCCAATTAACAGCATCGTTAACAATCCTACGAGATAGGTGCTAATATCGCCCTTGCTCACAGATCAGGAAACCGAGGCTGGGAGAGGTGAGGCAGCGCGCTCGGGACGCCAGGGTCGGAAAGAGCGAGGGCCCAAAGCACCACAGCCCATGCTCGGCGATGTAAGCAGTGCTCTCTCTGGCTGCATCATTTCCTCAGGATAAACTCTTAGGGGAGAAGTAGGGGGCCCGGTGTGCACAGAAATGATACACTTTACCTTGGGGACGATGCCAGTTCCCTCCACCTGCTCACCCACAGTGTCGCTCAGTCCCAGAAATACTGTGCCCACCGTACAGAGGAGTGGACTAAAGCCCAGAGAGGCCTGGGGGCCGGCGTGGGGGTGCTTAGGGAGTCAGGGTCCACCTGTCCCTTAGCCTGGGTGTCCCTTGTGGGCACCTGGGGGTGGGTTCTCTCCTCTAGTGCCCAGCACAGGGCAGGGCACACGGCCAGGGGTGGGAACATCTGGCCCCGTGGGGCCGTCCAGCCCAACCCGCGGGTGCGCCGGTGCCTGTGCCCCGGGCTGAGCAGCATTCAGCCACCCCGAGCCCCTACCCCAGGGAACCCTTGTCTCGTTCCCAGCCCAGAGATGGAGCCTGTGGCCCAGACCTCGGCTGACCAAGGCACGCCTGGGTCCAGTGACGACGCGTGGCCAAAACCAGTCCAACAAGAGGGAGCCCTGAGACCTCCTGGCCCGGTGGGCAGTGTGGGCCGTGGTGCTGTGGCATCATCGTGCTGACCACGGGGGACAGATGAGCATGATGTCCAAACGTGCGGGAGGGTGGGGCCGAGACAAGGGACGTTGTCTAAGACCCTGGACCCAGCCTTGCCTGAAACTGACCCTAGACCCAGACCGTCCGACTGCAGGAGCGGCTCAACAGCGGCCAGGAGGTGAGTCCACGGTCACCCCAGCCAGCAGGCACATCTTCACAGCTCCTCTCTGCCCGGCCCAACCCCTCAGACCCAGCCACGTCCCGCGCCTCCGCCATCCTCCCCGAACCCTGCCGAGACAGCCCCCCGCCACGAACCTCAGACCCCAGCCCCTCCACCCCATCACTCTGGGACACTGGGCAAGTCACTACCCTCCCAGGCCTCAGTTTTCCAGCTCCCAGGGCTGCCGCAAGGCTCTGGTGCTGACAGAGTGGAAGGTTCCCCGCACACAGGGGGTGCCTGACGCACACGGCTGCCTGCCTACGCAGCCAGTCCTCCCAGGAGTCCACTCTTAGAGGCTTGACCCCCGGCCTGGAGCAAAGGGATGATCTGGTTGGCCTCCAGGAGACCCAGGCTGGGATGGGAGGGGCTGGCAGGCCAAGGTCGGTATCAGAAGCGGCCTGCCAGGAAGTGACCTCTCCTGACCACAAAGCCTGGGCTGACCCCCTCCTCACCAAGGGCCCAGCAGCCCCTGCCCAGTGCCCCCAGATCACCTGCAGAGGTCGCCACCAGCTAGGACACTGTGGCCACTGCAAACCTCTGGAGGGGTGGGCCAGAGCCTGAGCTTCATGTTCTGTAGTCTGAGCTGGCGGGCCTCAGTCTCTGCCCCACCTCCCCTGAGCTCCAGGCTCCTGGCACATCTACCGTCTCCCACCACCTGCGCGTGGATGCCCCGCAGACCCTCAAGGGCACCTGCGTCCTCTCTCCATATTCTGCCCCTCAGCTGCTGGCTCAGGCCGAATGCCTGGGGCCAGCTTGGGCGACCCCTCTTACAGCCCCGTCTGGTCCCTCACCAAGTCCTGGAACCGCACCCAGGCCAACTGTGCTCACCAACACCACTGTCACCTCTCTGGTTTGAGCCACCATCCTCCCTCGCCTGGACCACATGCTACCCCTCTGCCGACCCAGCACACCACACCTGCTGGACCCCAGGGCCTTTGCACCTGCTCTTCCCCAGATGTCTGCAGGCCCCACTGCCTTGCCTTCTCAGCAGGACCTGCCCTGACCCCCACGCCTGAAATCGCAATCCCCAACATGCCCCATCCTCCCCCCATGCTTCCCTACAACTTACCCCTTTCACATACACAGAATTTACCTGCCTATTTTCCTTTCTGTTTCCTACACTAGAACAAAATTCCCACAAGATGGGAACATTTATCAGGCTGTGTTGCTGCTGCCTGCTCCCCAGAGCCTAGCCTGGGCCTGGGACACAGCAGGTCCTCGGGAAACCATTGCGGAGGTTCTGACGTTCTTGGGTTCAGAGAACTCAGCTCTCTAGGCAAACCTCCAATGCTGCAGGCCCCAGCCAGGCCTTCTCAGTGCCCCAGCATCTCCTGACCCTACACTGGCCATCACACACATTCGGGCCTGTCCTGCCTCTTTCACGACCATGAATGTGAGGCCAGGCGGGAGGAGTGGACGACGCCCCCTGCCCATGTGGCCTCTGCTGGGGCCGCCCCAGGGGGCTGGAACGCAGAGCTGCAGGGGAAGGCAAGCAGGAGAGAACTCCCGGGAGGGGAGGCAGCAAGGGCCCCAAGTCCTACGAGGCCTCTCTGTGCAGCCCTGGGCTCGGCCGCCCATCCTCCAAGTGGGGCCACAGAGTCTTGCCTCTCGAGGAGCACGAGGGACGCTGGGCTGAGGGCCCTGGGGGGACAGACGCACCTGCCGTGTGACGCCCCGTTTCTGGTTCATGGCCGCCAGGTAGCGCAGAATCAGCTTCGTGGCCTCAGTTTTTCCAGAGCCGCTCTCTCCGCTGACCGGCCAGAGGGGCAGAGTGAGCTCCAGCCTGTTCACGGCCTCTTCTGGGCGCTCCCCTGACCCCGCCGTGACACAGGAAGACACGGGCAGGCAGGCCGGCCCCCAGCCCCTCCGCTGCCCACCTGATGATTATGCACTGGTTCTGTTTGGCATCGAGCATTTTGGCGAAGGCGAGATTTGCAATTGCAAAGAGGTGCCTGGAGAGACAGGCCACAGGCGTTCCTGGGCCAGGCCCTGCTGGGGCTCCCAAACCTCCCAGGGGATGGGCAGGGGGACACCTCTGCCTAGCCGAGGAGCCAATCCTGCCATACCCCACCCTCGGGGAATGCTCCCCGCAAGGCTCCCCACCCAGGTCTGAGCCACAGTGGCCTCCAGCCCACAGGGGGCTGTGGCCAGGCTCAGGGAGAGGCTGCCGGGCTCCCCACCGCCACCCACCACCCATGGCTGAGGGGCAACCAGGGACTTGCCAAGCTCAGACAGGAACCCAGGAGACCCCGGGGAGGCCCCCTCCCCCAGCCCTGAAGACACTCACGGGGAATTCTCGGCCAGGGCCCGCCCTCTGTACTGCTGCACCTGCTCCAGCCCGTAGATCCCAAACATCCGGTACGGGTTCACCGACACCAGGATGCTGCCGATGTACGTCTGCCGGGCAGACGGTGGCCTCAGGGCCCGTCTGTGTCCCTCCCTCCCCCACTCCTGGGAGCTGGGATCCCTGTCTCATGGGGACAGACGTCTGGCTGCCTGGCCCTGGTGTCTGCACCCTGGGCCCCCAGACAGCTTGGTGGATCGTGCGCTCTGGTTGTGGAGTGTCAGGCACTGAATCAGGCTGAGGCTGGGAGGAGGGTGGAGCACGCAAAGCCCCACAGCCACGACCCCACAAGGGTGCCTGCTTCCTTCGTTCATAGTTGGGGCCCGCCCCCTGACCGTCCCCCTACCCCCGGGCCCCAGGTGTATGGCTCCCAGGACTCTGGAAGCGTTACCCATCGGGCCCCTGGTGGGGGTCACACACTTCTGGGTTCCCTGTCTCCAGGCCTCTAAGCCTCTATGTTTTAGGACTTTGGATTATAGCGCTCCCAGCTCTTGAATGCTGTGCTCAAATAGTAGAAACTCCAGGGTTCAAACCAGATGCCACAAGTCTGGGGCGAGCAGGAGAAATCCACGCTTCCCACTGCAGCCCCAGGAGGCAGGGAGGCAGCTGCCCTCAGACCCAAGCCCAGGGGGGTCAGCCCCAGGCCTTACGTAGATGAGGTTCCGTTCAAATCTGGTCTTGAGGTTGGCCAGCACAGTGGTCTCCTGGAGGTCTCTGCGAGGAGATGGAGAGAGGCAGTCAGGGCCCACCTTCCCCTCAGGGTAGGGCCTTGGTCAGAAAAGCCTGCATTCAAGTCCCGTCTCTGACACCAACCAACTGTGAGGCCTCGAGCAAATTACTTAATCTCTCTGTGCCTCAGTTTTTCTATCTATCCAATGGGTATGATAATCACTGTTCCCACCTCGCTGGGGTGGGGGATGCTCTCAGGTAGCAAACGTGAAGGCTGTCACTGTGATTGGATAATGACATTGACCAGCACGACCCTCACGTCTGAGGCACCTCCAATGTGCCAGCACCCTCACACCAAAAGCCACCCCACAGCATCCTGTGGGCGACACACTGAGGCAGAGAGGCTGAGTGTTTGCCCAGGTCCCAGCTAATAAGCGCCCATCTGAATTACTGGGCCTTTTTGACACTGCCTGAGCCTCGCCTAACAGAGGAGGAAGCAGGCTCTGAAAATGTTCCAGGAGGTGAGGGGCACCCCGGTGGGAGGCGGTGACCACTCACGGACCCGCCACCCCCACTCACTCCAGCTGCGTCATGTCCTCCACGCCGTCCTCCCGGCACTGCTCGCGGAACCGTGTGGACGGCAGGTTGCGGATGGAGTGCATCTGGGGAAGACAACCTGTGGTGAGCCAGCCAGAGGGTGCCTGCGCGTGGCCCCCCGGCTTGGACATGGCCAGGACCCACTGCCGTGTGGAGGAGGGAGCCCTGAGGCCGGGCCGGCCGGGTCCTATGGGCTGTCTGCCTCGGAACACAATGCTTAATTCCCAGGGACACGGCCGGCCTCAGCGCTGCCCGTCTTCCCGAGGGTCCTGCCAGGGGCTGAGCACACGCACAGGGGCACTGCTCCCTCTGCCTGGCCAGAAGGCCTCCCACCTCACGTTCTCCCAGGCTGAACCCCAGGTCTGCCTATGTGACAACTAGGAGAACATCCGCATCTGGTGCCTGGGGCCTCCAGAAGGACCGGGACTTTCACGTGTGGTGCCGCACCCCGCGCAGGGCAAACGCAGACCCACACGCACAGACCCACAGGCAACGGCGCCTGCAGCCCAGGTGCTCCCACGCCCACCCGTGGTCTCGCACGGGGCTTGTGGACGTGCATGCTGGCCTGCGGTGCCTTCCTGGAGGCACACACAAGTGCGGGCACGTGCTCTCAACGTCCCTTGGACAGGTTCTCATGTGACAGGTGTCCCCGCACCTGGTGGTCTCGAGACGAAAGTCCCGATGCCCCCTGTGGGCTGCAGGCCCGCTACTGTGCCCTGGTAGTGTGTACACTTGACCCCGCAGATACCACGTCTGCCCGGGCCGTGGCGCACGCACTCACATGCTCTCCTCGCTGAGCTGTGGAGCGCCCGAGCGCACGTGACCCATGTGACTGCGAGCACACTTGTGAGCCCGCCTGTCCTGCCTCTCGGGTCCAGCCTACACCCCTCCCTGAGCGGAGAGGAAAGGGGACACCGGGAGGCAGCCCGCGTGCTAAGTAGGGCACAGCGGGTATCACCCCAGAGGCCCTGGCCTCCCGCCCACCCGCCTGCCCATGTGCGCCAGTGGCCGCAAACCCTGAATAATTCAGCCACTCACGTATTCCAGGGTGAGGAGGGCCCACGCATCCTTGCCCCTCACCCCCGGGCGCTTGGCGCCCCGCTCCTGCAGCGCTGCGGCCCACACAGCCCGGGGCACCCGCCGTTGGGGCCAGGGCCCCCCCAGCAGCCAGGGCGCCCCGGTCGCCATTGATGGGCCCGTTGGCTGCCTGCTCCACGGGGCACCGTCTGCAGAGGCTGAGAAACGCCCGCCACCCCTGCGTGCCCCGCCCACCCCAGGCGTCCCGGGGGAGGCTCCGGTGACCACCCCCCTCCGCTGAGGGCCACCCGGCACCGGGCTCGTGTTCCGCCGCGAGCGTGGCAGCCAGGCACGGGCTTGGCACCCCTCAGAAGGGCTGCCTGCCCCACACCCTGCAGGGGCCCAGACAGGCTCCCAGCTCAGCCGTGATCCACTGTGTGACCTTCTGGGTCTTGGCTTCCCCACTGTGCAGTAAAGAAGCCAGAAGGTTGGTTCCTGAGCCCTCACCTTTGGACAGTCCAGAACCCTGCAGCCCGGGGGACTGCCCTTAGGCAGGAGCCCCAAAGAGACAGAAGACCCAGTTTGGGGGAGGGTCAGCAGCAGGCAGAAGGAACAGCATGAACGTGAATGCGGGGATGGGACAGGGTGGGTAGGCAGGGTCTGCAGTTTCGTACTGAGCCAAGATCCCTGCGGGGGGCTCTGAGTGGACGTGCCATCCAGATCGGATGAGGACAGGACTGCTTGGAGCCCAGACTGGGACAAGATCCCTTTCTCCAAGTGCCTGGGGGCAGTTTCTGGCATCTCTGTCCTCTGCCTACCTGTGCCGGGCATCCCCTTGTTCAATCCCCCAGAAGCTCTGGGAGGCTGTTCTCCCCAAGCTACAGATGGGAAGACTGAGGCCCAAGCAGGCAGCAGTTCGCCAAGGTCCCGAGACTGTCTCCTGCCCCGTTTCCCAGGATGGAACCATAAGCCCTCCCTCTAACCTGTGCCCCCATACCTTGTTCGACCAGCCTTTGGGGCCGACCTTTTCCCCGGGGCCCCCATGGGGCAGGCCGGCAGCTCCAGGGCCCAGGCGGCAGGACGGGGGGCGAGCGTGTACTCGTGTGCAGGGTTGATGGGCCTCCGCCGGCAGCCACAGGCGGGACCAGAGCAGACTCCAGGTTCTCAGCCTGGGCTGGGGCTCTGGCTCCTGGATGGGAGGCTGCAGGGTAGCAGGACAAGCTCGCTGGAAAGAGCTCAGCTTCTGCACACGAGGCATGACCACAGCAAAACGCCCAGGGCTTGCCTGGAGCCATTCACCCGCCTTGGGCAGGGGTCCTGGGGCCCCAGAGGGCGCCAAGGGGGCTGGGGCCCTGGGCAGTGTCCCCCAGCGGCGCCATGGTGGCCATGTGGCCCTCATCTGGTCAGAGGCGGCCAGCGGGTAGGAGAAGCTAGGCCTCAGTGCTTTCCGCTCTGAGGGGGAATCCTTGGGGGGTGTCAGGGTCGGGGGTTCAGGCTCTGCTGGTGGCTGGGGGCCCGCCGGACAGGCCTCTTCTTCAGGCTTCTTGAGGCTCGGGCTGGCCGATTTGGTCAGCTGTCCAGGCCCTGGGTCGTGATGTCTACCCAGGAGGACACCAGTTGAGTCAGAGGCTGGATCTTCAGGATGGGCAGCAGGGGATAGCCCTGGGCCTACGTGCTGGAGGAAGGGGTTTGGGGGTACAGCGGCTTGCCTGGAGAAGCCACGGAGGCTGCCTGGGCCTCCCGGCCAGGGCGATGGTGGCCGCTGGGTGTCAGGCATGTCCACGTCCCAGCTGGGGGCCAGCGGGGGCACTGTCCAGAGCGTCTCCGAGTCCTCGGGCTCGCGCTGGCTCTCTTGGTGCTCAGGCGCAGGAGCAGCGGCAGCGGCAGCGGCAGCCGCCCGCCAAGAGCGAGGGCCGGGCGGCAGGCGGTAGGACTGGCGCGGCCGGGGCTTCACGGCCCTGATGGGAGGCTCGCTGAGGCTGCGCCACGTGCGCGGGAGGCGCGAGGGCAGGTTGAGTGAGCGGTTCCGTGGGCTGGGGCCCAGCAGAGGGGGCGGCGAGGGCGGCCGCGGGGAGCCCAGCACCGGCGACCGGGGTGCGCCCGGGCGCCCCGAGGCTCGGCGCGGAGACGGGGGCTCCCGCAGCGAGCGGGGACGGCGGGGCGGCGGCGAGAAGGGCGGCCGGAAGGGGCTGCGGCGGACGGAGGGCTGGGGGGACAAGGGCCCCAGGGGCGAGCGGGGCCCCAGGGGTGAGCGGTACCCCAGGCGGGGCGGGCTCCTCAGCGAGGGCCGGGGCGAGGGCCCGGGGAAGCCGAAGGCCGCGTCCCGCCGGCGGGAGCCCCTGAAGGAGAGACGGGGTCCGGGGAAGGCCAGAGGGTCAGGGGGCCCCTCGGGGCTCAAGGGCGGGGGCTCGGCCAAGGCCCACCAGCTGGCCTGGGACGCGAGGGGCACGTGAGCCGGGGCGGCCCAGGGCGGCGGGTGCCGGCGGAGCGAGCCGTAGGGCGAAGCCGGCGGGGGAAGGCCCGGGGGCAGGCCGGCGGGGGCGAGGGCCGGGGCGGGCGGCAGGCTGGGGGCGGGGCTGGGGGCGCGCGGCGGGGACGGCGGACGGCGGGAGTTGTTGTTGTTGCGCGCGCGCGCCTGCGCCCTCCGCAGCACGATGGGCGTGTTGGGCCGCTCGGGGTCCATGCCGGCCAGCTTGTAGCCGAAGCGCTTGTAGGCCGCCTCCCTGACCGCCGGGCCTCGCGCCCGGGCCTTCTGGCTGCTCTTCAGCCGCGGGATGGGCTCCTTTTCCGACAAGGTCTTTTTGAGGAACCGCGCCAGCGAGGTGGCCGGGCGCGGCGCTGGGCGTCCGAAGTCAGAGCTGAAGCCCAGGCCCCGGGGGGCGCCGAAGGCCGAGAGGGCGCGCTGGATGCGGCGCTGCCGCGGCGTGAGGAAGCCCCAGAAGGGGTGGCCGTAGGGCACCGGGGGCAGCGGCGGCATCTCATCCTCTTCTTCGTCTTCGTCCGCGTCTCCCAAGGGCAGAGGGATGTCCAGGGAGGGCGGCAGGGGCACGTCCAACTTCTCCTTCCCAAACAGCTTCACTTGGGGCCGCGGGAAGAGGCGGAACCGGCGGATGAGGGACAACTTGGACCTGGCGGGCTTGTCCATGCCCTGCTGCTCGAAGAAGGCGGCGCTGGGCAGGCGGAAGGACGTGCCCTGCCGCTCGCTGCCCGCCTCCTCGGGCTCCTCCAGCTCCGCGATGTCATCCATGGGGTGGGCATACGGGTTGTGAGGTGACAGGATGGGCGGCGGCACCCACGGGTACGCGAAGGCCGACTGCTCCGGCGGAAGATAGGGCCCCTCGGGCGGGTAGATGGCCTGGTCCCCGCCACCATAGATGCCTTCAGCGTAGGGGACTCCATGGGAGGCACCGTAGGGGGCGCTGTAGGGCGGCGCGTAGGGATCCAGGTAGGGTGGCATGTAGGCTTCCAGGTAGGGCGGCGCGTAGGCGCCCAGGTAGGGCGGCGCGTAGGCGGCCAGGTAGGGCGCCCCGTAGGCATCCGGGTAGGGAGCCCCGTAGGTATCTGGGTAGGGCCCGGCATACGGGAGGTCGTAGGCGAGGTCGTAGGGCGGGTAGGGCGGGTAGGGCGGGTAAACCGCGTCGGAAGGGGCGTAGGAGTCCTGGTAGTAGCCGTGCAGTTGCGCCTCGCCCGCGTATGCGTCGTAGTAGCCGTAGGGAGACGCGAACCCCGACGGGGCCGCGTAGGGGGGCTCGTAGTCGTCGTAGCCATAGCGGTAGCCGTAGTTGGAGTAGAAGGAGCCCCCGTAGTAGTCTGGGCCGTAGTAGTCGTAGGGGTCCTCGGGCGGGTACCCGTGAGGGTTGTCATAGGGCGGCCAGGCTGGGCCGTGGAGGCCGTAGGCGCCCCGGTAGGGCTCCTCCTCATACTGGTACAGCGACTGCCGGTCGTAGTAGTCATCACCCTCGCGGTGGTAGTCATAGTACTCGCCCAGGTCCTGGAAGCCCTCCAGCCCGTACAGCGACCTGCGGGAGCCCGAGTGCCGGAACGGGGCCTCGTCCTCGAAGGGCAGGAAGCCCACGGGCTCGCCCGACTCGTAGATGCTGTGGGCGCGCGGGAACCTGCGCAGGCGACCCCCGGGCTGCAGGATCTCGGCGCCCGACGGGAAGGGCAGCTTGCGCGAGCCCACGCGGGAGCCGGAGCGGTCCATCCAGGCGTCCAGTGTGGCCTGCGCGCTGCCCGACTCCTCGGCCTTCTTGATGAGGAATTTCTTGGTGAGCCAGTTGATGGCCGTGGACGCCTTGCTGAGCGATTGGGCACGTGGGCGCAGGCGGCCGTAGCCGCGCCGGCCAGGGAAGCGGATCACCATGAAGGACGGCTTCTTGCCCTTCATGGCGCGCTTCTTCTTGCCCACGCGCATCTGCGTCATGAGCTTCGACGTGGACTTGAGCACCGTGCGCGCCTTCTTCTTGCGTTTGGTCTTCTGGGGTCCGGTGTGGAGACCCCAGAAGAATGCCGACGCGCTCCGGAACTGCCCCTTCTTGGAGATCTTGGGCGTGCGGTCTCGGAAGCCCATGAACAGCCGCGAAGTCCCCTTCAGGCTCCGCTTGGGCTTTTCCGGCTCCGGCGCCTTCTTCCCCTTCTTCCCTTTCTTGGCTTTCTTCTCATCCTCTTCTTCCTTCGCCATGGTGGCCACCTGCTCCCTGCCAGGCCGGCCGGTGTCACGAGCTCAGGGCCTTGGGGACACAGGGACCTGCTGAGTCTCCTGCCTGCGGCTGGACACGCAGCCTCCGCAGGCTCAGAGCAGCTGGGACTGGCCCGGTGGCCGGGGGAGGGACAGCCAAGCTCCTTCTGGCTGGGACCAGGCTTTCAGGAGGGCAGATCCATAATTCATCTCCTCAGGCCCCGCCTAGAATTTCACCCTTGAGCCTGTTGGAAAGCACCTGGGTGTTGTTTATGGGAAGCAGGGGAGGCCTGGCAGGCCCATGCTGGGGAGACTGCGTTGGCCTTAGAACCTCCATGAGGACAGCCGTGCCTCAACCCCAGTCAAGCCCTCCCTGAGCCTCTGCTGGCTCACCCACCGAGTGAGTGCTTGGGTCACTGGGCCCCAGAGAGGGGAAGCCACCTGCCCTAAACCACCCAGCACATCTGTTCTGGGCCACAAGTGGAGCTGCATCTCCTGAGCCAGGGTGGGACGTTCAAAGACCACCAAGTCACCTTGGAGGGGGGGGAACCTGGGCCCCTCCAGGTCCTGGGCAAGGGAGGAGGGGTGGTGGGCATGGCAGGTGCCCAGGGCTGCGGTCAGTGTAACCAGAGCTGGCCGGCCCTTGGGAGCGTGAATAATTTATTGGGGAGAACCAGGCTGCTGGCTGAGAAGGCAGGGCAAGAAGGGGGCTTCTCGGTTCCAGCAGGGCCTGGTAAGGCCGACAATCAGGCAGCTTCTGGGGGTGGGGACACGTGGGAACTGGGCCCCCGCAGGATGGGGTCTCGAGGGGGCATCCACTCCCCCATCACCCCCTCTGATGCTGCCTGCTCTCCTGCCTTGTTCTGGGCTGTGGGGCAGGGGGTTCACTCTTTCTGAGCCCAGAGATGCCGACACCGCGCCCCCCACTGCCCCTCCTGGAGCTGGTTTCCAAATTGAGGCCTGGCCACTGTTATCTCAAGAGAGTCTCACAATGGGCTGTGGGGTGGGAACTGTCATCTCCATTCTCCAGATGAGGAAACGGTCTTGGAGAGGAGAAGTGACTTGTTCAAGGTCAACCAGCTTGGGACCCTGGAACCAGGCTCCAACCCAGGCCTGCGTGGTCCGGAGCCACATTTCTTGCTAGTGCTAGGCCTTCCTCGCCTCGGGGCTCCTGGGCATGTGGGCCATCGTGTGGGAGGGGAACAGCTCTGGACACTGGCCAGAGGCAGGGGCTTAGCCGGGCTGACCCCAGAGTCTGGGCCTTCCAGGAGTTCTGGGGCAGAGGGCCCTACTTGAGCCACTGAGCAAGCCAGAGGCCCTGATGTGCTGGAGGAGGTCGCCCAGGCCGTGTCCCTGCTTGGGCCCTACCTGGACTCTTGGTCAGCCTGGCCCCTGTCCCTCAGGACAGCAGGCACTGACTTGTCCGTTCATTTGTCAGAAGCATCTGCTGGAAGCCTGCCATGAACCAGGCGCTGTCTAAGCACTGGGCACACAGCCAAGGAAACAGAAACCTGCCCTCGTGGCGCTGACATTCTGGGGGGCGGGGACTGGCAACAAACAAGGAGAGTGAGTGAAAGATACAACCGGTGGGATGGCGTGAGTGCTGGCATTGAAATAGCGCAGGGACGCGGCATCGAGACTCGGGTATACAGCACCGAACAGGGCCTGGGTGAGGTGCCCTGGAAGTGACACGGGGGCCAAGAGTTGCAGGAGGGGAGGGAGGGAGGCCTGGGGGAGGCACAGCGGTCCGGATGTGATGGAGGAACAGCAAGGCCAGGGTGACCGAGTGCAGTGAGGGGCGAAGACGGGGGGTGGGGCAGAGGTCAGGGGTGAGGACTTGGCCACGGCTGTGGCAGAGAAGGGATGGAATTGGACCTCCTTGGTCTTCACAGGATCCCTCTCGCTGCCACAGGAAGGACGGATGGCAAGGGCTGAGGGCAAAAGCGGTGGCTGTTGTGGGAGCTACCGTGGCGGTCCGGGCGAGCGACACTGGGGCCTGGGCCAGGCTGGGGCAGTGCGGTGGACAGAGTGCTGGGATGCTGGTATATTTTGCAGGTGGAGCCTGCGGGCAGCTGACGAGTACCTGCACGGTTTCCTTACTGAAGCAGGCGGGAGAGTGGAGGCGGCCAGTGGAGGTGAGGAAGGCCGTGGGTGGAGCTCTGCACGTGGTGATCTCGGACGTCCGCCGTCCAGGGAGTTGGCGGGACTCGCACGGCTGTCAGGGAGTCAGCGGCGTCTGGGTGGTGCTGAGGCCACAGTTCGGCAGGATGGCACCAGGGGCTGGGTGCACGTGGAGGACAGGCCCTATGGGTGAGCCTGGGGCTGCTCTGTTTGGCACCAAGCCGGCCCCAGAGACCAGAAGGGTGATGTGGGCAGGCCCTGCTGTCGGCTGTCACCCAGGCCACCTCCCGAGAGCAGAGAGGAGCCGCGGCCTGGAATAACGATGTCGGTCATAACAATGATAAGAGCAGCTTATTCTCCGCAGCCCCTGTGCCTGGCTCTCTGTTTGTCTCATGAAGGCTCCCGTTGGCCCCAGGAGCGGAGGGTGCCCTAGTGCCCACACTTACAGCTGAGGAGCCCAGGGCAGAGGCTGCATCCAGGACAGGAATGGGACCGACCCAGAGTTCCGAGCCACCCCTCACAACCCCTAGGCTCCTTCTCCGAGCAACGTGGGCGCTCCTATGGCTGGGCTGGCCGCTCTGAGCTTCGGTCTCTTCATCTGGACAGTGGGCTTCGGAGCCCAAAGATGCCTGCCTGAGGTTCGCTGTAGCCTGGGGAGTCACTGGCCAGCGCCCAGTGCTGGCCTCCCAGCTGTTCTCCTGGGCAAACCACAGGCCAGCGAGGACCCCCAGTGTGGGCAGGCAGAGGTGTGGCTCCAGGCGGTGTCCCTGGGCCCCGCCCCCGTCCTCACTTTCCTCAAATGTCACGTGGAGCGGGGGGGTGGGGTTGCACCCTGCAGTCTCTAAGGGGAGCCCCCTTCTCTGGCTGGTTCAGGGTCCCGCCTCCCTCTTGGGGTCCCTGGCCTCTGCTGCAGGTACAGAGCAGGTATCAGGGAACAAGTCTCTCACTCATTCATGTGTCACCTGCCACATGCCAGGCACCGTGCTGGGCTCCAGCGGGCCACAGAGTCGAGCAGAACCAGGCATGGCTTCTGCCCTCACTCAGCTCCCAGTGTCAGGGGGACATGGATGTTAAGCGAAAAGCCACACCAACAAGGGGGGAGCTACAGCCGTGGGAAGAGCCGTGAAGGCCAGGCCACGACACAGGTGGGCGGACGCTGCATGGGGAGGCCAGGGGGTTCCCTGAGTTTCTGACCCTGAGCCAAGATCTGAGGGATGAGGGAGCTAATCAGATGGAAGAGGGAACAGTGTTGGGGCAGAGGGAAGAGTATGTGCAAAGGCCAGGTGGTGAGAGAGGTGGAGTGACGTGGGGCATGTGGAGTGGCAAGTGGCCAGAATGGGAGCTGGGGTGGGACTGTGGTCTCCATCTCTATGGCAGCAGTGAACGTGGCAGGGCTTTGAGCTGTCAGGGATGCTGCGAGCAGGTCTGGAAATAAAAGTAACCAACACTGCCAAGCTTTCCGACGTGCCGGGCTCAGGGCCAAATGCTCTCCCCCAGGATCTCACTAGATCCTCACAGTGTGTAAGGTGGAAGCTGCCGTTCCTGCTGTGTAGATGAAGCGTCTATAAAACAGGTCTCAGGGAGGTTAGGTCACTGAGCGAAGGGCCCACAGCGAGGACCCGACAGCCTGGCTCCAGAGCATCCTGCGCTCACCTGCGGCCTCACGCTGCTCCTTGCGTGGCCGTCCTGGACAAAAGCTTTTGGGCCACTGTGTGGAGGATGGGGCGCGGAGGACAGTGGCTGTGCCGGGGTCAGCTGTGGCGGGGGACACGCTCAAGTCAAGCGGGCAGCCCCAGAGAGGGTTGTGTGGGGCCTTCGGGGCTGGCCCGGTGCCTGAGGCCAGGTGGGAGGTGTGGGAAGATGACAAGTTTGGTCTGAGACGCAGAGGGTTTTGGGGTGACCGTGGGCCGTCCAGGTGGAGAGTTGGGGAGGCAGTTTAGCCCTGCAGGTCGGGGGTGACAGGGTCAAGGCTGTCTAGGAGAGGGACAGAGCGAGAAGGGGGGACCCCAACTCTGGCCTTAAGGACTGTGTGCCAAGGAGGCGGGGAGGGGCTGCCAAGGAGGGGCCCAGGGGAACGAGGTTAGAAACCTCGCAGCTCCGCAGCGGGTGGCATGTGGCCTCGACAGGAGCTGTCCTGGCAGCACGCTGGGGAAGCTGAGGGCAGAGGGCGGACATGGGGAAGCCAGGCCGTGACTGGTGGGGGGGAGGGGGTGGCCACAGGGAATGATGCATCCGGGAGGAGTGTGTTTTCAGTGGGGAAGGCCCAGCAAGAAGGCGGCCGTCTGCACACCAAGGAGTGAGGCCTCGGGGCACCTCGATCTCTGACTTCCAGCCTTCAGAACCGTGAGAACATCTTGTCCATTGTTTAAGCCACCAGCCTGGGTACTTTGTTATGGTGGCCCCGGCTAGGCCCAGGAGGATGAGTCACACAGACCCACTGGAAAATCCTCAGGACAGACCCAGGAGAGAGCATGCGAGAGGAGTGAGGGCCCTGAGGTGGCCTCTCCATTGTGGAGGGAGGGGTGGCAGCAGACGGGTGCGGGGCGTTGGGAGTTTTCCAGCCGGGGCTCAAGGGGGCAGGGCCGTTTCAGAGGCTGTCAGTGGCACAGGGAGACGCCCACCCTGGGTGGGGTAAGCGTCCCCCGGGGGCTGGGCCAGGTGGGATCTTGAGGAGGACAGATGAGCTTAGGGATTTCTGCCAAAGAAGGTTTCTGAAATGAGGAAGCGGGGAGTCTAAGCTGGAGAGGAAGGGACACAGGGACGAACACGGGTACGTGGATGGACATCTGTGTCCTGAGCCCTTTGGCACCCGAGTCTCGTAAAGCTGCAGGCCAGGCCCCCTGGGAGCGCAGCCCTGCAGCCAGGGCAGAGGGACGTGTGGGTACTGCTGACCTTCATAAAGACAGGCCGTTTGAGCAGAAGGGACCTCGGGTCACCCTGGCCAGAGCCTCCCTGCACAGAAGGCCCAGGAGGATGAGTGATGGCAATAGGGGGCGCC